GCCCACAGAGAGGTCAGATGTGTAGAAGATTAGGGTGGCCCACAGAGAGGTCAGATGTGTAGGAGATTAGGGTGGCCCACAGAGAGGTCAGAAGTATAGATTAGGATGCCCCCACAGAGAGGTCAGATGTATAGGAGATTAGGGTGGCCCACAGAGAGGTCAGATGTGTAGAAGATTAGAATGCCCCACTGAGATGTCAGATGTTTAGGAGATTAGGGTGGCCCACAGAGAAGTCAGATGTATAGAAAATTAGGGTGACCCACAGAGAGGTCATATGTGTAGATTAGAATGCCCCACAGAGCCGTCAGATGTAAAAAGACAGCAAGGGTACCACACTACTCAGAATGTCTGCTCCAGAACAAAAGTTGAACTCACACGGTAAATTATCCACGCTGTCTCAATGTATTAAAACTCTTTACCGCTCCTGAGCCGAATAGAAGAGAAAACTGAGGACTCATCAGACTTCAAAAATTGAGTGAGGAAAGATGGGAAATTGAAAGATTGAAAAATATATTGGTTGGAAAACAATAGTGAAGCGGAGCGCTTAAATTATACAGTGTTTTATCCAGCAATTGTGAACATGATTTGAACAATAAAGAAATCCAGTATATCTTAGAGTGCCGTGTCTTAGAGTGTGTATGTGTGTGTGTATATATATATATATATATATATATATATATATATATATATATATATATATATATATATATATATATATATATATATATATATATATATATATATATATATATATATATATATATATGTCGTACCTAATAGCCAGAACGCACTTCTCAGCCTACTATTCAAGGCCTGATTTGCCTAATAAGCCAAGTTTTCATGAATTAATGTTTTTTCGTCTACCTAACCTACCTAACCTAACCTAACCTAGCTTTTTTTGGCTACCTAACCTAACCTTACCTATAAATATAGGTTAGGTTAGGTTAGGTAGGGTTGGTTAGGTTCGGTCATATATCTACCTTAATTTTAACTCCAATAAAAAAAAATTGACCTCATACATAGAGAAAAGGGTTGCTTTATCATTTCATAAGAAAAAAATTATAGTAAATATATTAATTCAGGAGAACTTGGCTTATTAGGCAAATCGGGCCTTGAATAGTAGGCTGAGAAGTGAGTTCTGGCTACTAGGTACGACATATATATATATATATATATATATATATATATATATATGTCGTACCTAGTAGCCAGAACTCACTTTTCAGCCTACAATGCAAGGCCCGATTTGCCTAATAAGCCAAGTTTTCATGAATTAATATATTTACTCTAAATTTTTTCTTATGAAATGATAAAGCAACCCATTTCATTATGTAAGAGGTCAATTTTTTTTTATTGGAGTAAAAATTAACGTAGATATATGACCGAACCTAACCAACCCTACCTAACCTAACCTAACCTATCTTTATAGGTTAGGTTAGGTTAGGTAGCCGAAAATGTTAGGTTAGGTTAGGTTAGGTAGGTTACGTAGCCGAAAAACAAATAATTCATGAAAACTTGGCTTATTAGGCAAATTGGGCCTTCTATAGTAGGCTGAGAAGTGCGTTCTGGCAACTAGGTACGACATATATATATATATATATATATATATATATATATATATATATATATATATATATATATATATATATATATATATATATATATATATATATATATATATATATACACACATATGTATATGTATATATATATATATACATATACATATGTGTATATATATATATATATATATATATATATATATATATATATATACATATATACACACATATGTATATGTATATATATATATATACATATACATATGTGTATATATATATATATATATATATATATATATATACATATACATATGTGTATATATATATATATATATATATATATATATATATATATATATATATATATATATATATATATATATATATATATATATATATATATTATTGAATGAGTGTGCATGCGTGCAGGAGCAAGGACGGGGTTGCTTGAGCAATATGTGTAAGACCACTCATGCACTTGGTCAAAATCATATTTTCTTCGGACTTTTCGCGAGTGGGGAGAGAGAGAATGACAGGAAGGTGAAGGGCGGATGGTGTGGGAAGGGAGGAGAGAAGGGTGGAAGGGGAAAAATGGAAGGGGGGAGAGAGGGGAAGGAGTTAAGGTTAGAATAATCAGGGGGTGCAGGTATGTAAGACACGACATCACATGCCTGTGAAGACATGGGGGCGACGGTGGAAAACATGGGGGGATGGGAGGGGGGAAATGGGTGTATATTTAACTGCATGGGAGGGAAAGGGTGCATATTGTACAACATGGGAGGGAAAAGGTACATATTGTACGACATGGGAGAGTAAGGGTGCATTTTGTACAACACGGGAGAGCATAGATGCTCCCTGGAGCACCTTTTGTAGGTGTCGATGGTCGTTGAACATTGTTTAGCAAGGTGAACATGCGTTGTACGTTTACCAACATGGGAAGGCAAGGGTGTTCCATATGTCTATATAAAATTTGCTTATGATCTCTACAATTTATCTACAAAACAACTGGGAATAGATGGGAATAGGATTGAAAATCAGAAGTCTCGTCAATCTTCATTTCCTCTAAAAGCACAACTTACTGGACGAAATAAAGAACGATTGATTTTCACCTAATACACAATTTGATGAAAATCTGATGGTAAAGAATTGTTAAGTATTCCTATTATAAAACCTATTTATAATATTTGACTGAAGTTGTTGAACGTAACTACAGGAATGATAAGTATCAAGCATACAGTGATGTAAAAACTGTCTCTCTGCTTTTCACCTCACTCTGAGGTACTCATTTCTGGTCCTCTGGTATCTCACCCTGCTCTCTGGTGTTCTGTTATTCCCGTAGTTTCTCTAAGTTCTTGTACTCAATTGCTTCGCAACCTTTCATTCCTGATTGAACCATGGATTCTTATGTTGCTTTTAATTTTTCTCCTTTTGGGCCGGGGTAAACCTATCTACAGCTTCCTGGCACTTCTGGGTAACATAGTCCTTCATATCCTGGATTTTCTCTGAATTCTGTTTCCCATGGGATTCACATTGGGAAGTTCCTCATCTCGGCATAGTTTCGTCTTCCGTAATTTAGCCTTTCCTTCCCGATCCCTTCCTTGGATAGGTTATCGCTATCTCCACCAGATACTCGAATGTCAATACACTGTGGTCACTCATTCCTATGGGGGCTTCAAATTTGACTTCCCTTATTTCTGACTCATTCAAAGTGAATATCAGGTCGAGTCAAGCTTGTTCGTCATTGCCTCTCATTCTTGTGGGTCCCTTGACATGCTGGCTCAGAAAGTTTCATGTTGCCACTTCCAAAAGTTTAGCTCTCCATGTATTTTCACCTCCATGTGGGTCCCCATTCTCCCAGTCTATCTTTCCATGGTTGACGTCGCTCACGATTATGAGTCTGGATCCATTCCTGCTGACAATTGATGTTGATCTCTCTATTATATTAATGATTGTCATGTTATTCTTATCGAATTCCTGTCTGGGTCTTCTGTCATTTAGTGGAGGGTTGTAAATGACTGCTGCTACTATCTTAGGTCCCCCCATAGTCATAGTACCTGTTATGTAGTCTATGAATCCTTCACACCCAAGAATTTCCATTTCTTCAAAACTCCAGTCCTTCCTTATCAGCAGGGCCTCTCCTCCTCCTTCTCCTCTCCCTTCCCTCTCTTTCCTTACTATATAGTAGTCTTGTGAAAACTGCGTTTGTTATGATGACTGACAATTTTGTTTCTGTGAGTCCTACTACATCTGGGTTTTCTCCCTGTGCTCTTTCCTCCAGTTCACTTGCTTTATTAGTAATTCCATCGATGTTTGAGTACATTACCTTAAAGCTCACTTTCCTATATCCATTTAACTTTTAAGTGTGTGTGTATATGTGTGTTGCTGCTACCTACCTACTCACGACAGCCCTGCGCTATATAAATCAGGCCTAGATACCAATGGCAAGCAGTATTAACATATGCCTAATCTTTTGTGCCATCAAAAATCTATGTATATAAAAGAAAATGTCTGTCTGACTGCCCAAGGTCGGGACCCAGGAGCTTTGCCCTCTCCCAACCCCACTTCCCAAGACAGTGTTCTGGGAGAGTCGGAGTCGGACCTTCAAGCTCTTTAAAAAAATATAGGTTCTTATTTTTTTCCCATAGGGAAAGAGAGTGGAAAAGATAGGGAAGAGAGAGGAGAGACAGGAGAGAGAGATTAGGAGTAGAAGCGTGTGTTGGGAGGGAGGGGGAGGGATTGAGAGACCCGGGCACAGCCGGGGAGCCCATACAGTATGCAATATAAGATTGTCTTTCTCTTTTGTGCTGTTTATAAGAGATATATATCACGTCTATATTACTTCTGCTTCATCTATATATTACCCATATTTCACCTATACACTAAATATCACTTTTATATAATTTCTATATCCCTCTGGTGAGTATCGGCTGCGTTATGGTAGGTTGTTGTGGGGTCGTATTCTGTTGGTTACGCAAAATCGTTTCGAATTTGAAGCTTCTATTTAATACTAGCACCATCACTATATGTACCAAATACATCTGTTCCGCCAACACATGTGACACACCCACACCTGCCTCATGCACACGGGTCCCACACACACAACTCGGTGATTACACACCTGCCCCACACACACACCTGCCCCACACACACCTGTCCTCTCACCGTGTGCAAACGATACATTTTATGCCTCACCAGAAGCGTACAAACCCAACCAACCCACCTAACGTATTGAGACCAGTGCTCAGAGGAAGCATATATATATTGCGACGTTATTAATTCCTCTTAAACCCCCGCAATTTTAACGTTTTGGGGGCCAAATAGCCTAATAATATGTGCTTTATTAAGTGAGAGGACAGGTTATCCTCCCCATTCCCTCTTACTCTCCCAATTCTGCAGCATCACTTGCGTGTGTCTCTCTCATCTCCCCGTCTCCTGCAGGAGGGTATGGGAGGACTGCAGATGGTGAGAGGCGGAATGATCGCTAGCGGGGACGTGCATGTCATGGACACCCTGGTGGCCGCCCGTATCCTCTCCCGCCCACACACGCCCATTCGTATCCTGGCGGCCAGCAACTTCTCCATCAGCGCTACTGACGCAGACGGCCGGGTCACCAACAGCATCTTCATGAGTGAGTATGGCACGCAGGGCGTTCAACTGTTCCGTCTTTGTTTATCTTTTATGGCCGTGTGTATAGCCGTTTTCTGTGGTTGTTTTGGGGCGTTGGCTGAAGCCGGTCTTTCTAGAGGGGGTGTTTGTCTATTTGTACAGACCCCCCCCCCTGTTTCCCTATTCGTGCCCCCCCCCCCAGGCAAATAACTTGTTGGGTCAAATAGCTTCAGCTTGTTAAGTCTGCCTCTTTATGTTCAATTGGGTGGTTCTCTAGGGGGTGATTAAAAGTTAATTGATGATGGATACGTGTTTGAAGTCTACTTGCAATCGTTCATCATTTGTGTGTGTGTGTGTGGTGTCTGCCTCCACCATTACCCTCGTGTGATTTTCAAGACATTTTGCAATGTTTTTAAACAAAATATTATAGAAGAGAAACGAAATCGAGTCATGATCACTACATATAAGATATTTAGGGGGGAATTGGTAAGTCGGAAAGTAAGGCCATTCTCCGCGTGAGGCGGGAAAGAACAAGGGTAAGGGACAGGAATATAGAAACTTGAGATCCAGGTGAATCACAATGTCGTTAGACGAATTGTTTTTGCCGAAAATGTTGTGAGCAAATGGAATAAAAAATAGGAATAAATAAAGAGGGAAATACAATAGTTAGAAGATAGCAGGTACACACACACACACACACACACACACACACACACACACACACACACACACACATACACACACACACACACACACACATACACACACGCGAACAAGGGGACACAGGTGGAAACTGAGTACCCACATGAGCCACCGGGACGTTAGAAGGAACTTTTTCAGTGTCAGAGTAGTTAACGGATGGAATGCATTAGGCAGTGATGTGGTGGATGCTGACTCCATACACAGTTTCAAATCTAGATATGATAGAGCCCAGTAGGCTCAGGAATCTGTACATCAGTTGATTGACAGTTGAGAGGCGGGACCAAAGAGCCAGAACCCAACCCCCGCAAGCACAAATAGGTGAGTACGAATAGGTGAGTACACACACACGCACACACACACGCACACACACGCGCGCGCGGACACAATTAGCATAAATCACATCTTGCAAGAATGCTTGCGGCCTTGTCATAATGAACGTAAATTCTGGCAAATTTACCTTGTTTATTTTCTTCCTGCGTGGAGAAAGGGAGGGAGAGAGAGAGGGAGGGAGAGAGAGAGTGTGAGAGAGAGAGAGAGTGAGCGAGAGGAGCGTACATATAAATGAATTTAAAAAAGAAATTTGTCAACAATTTAACTTGTGTCTTGTTTAGGTTCACAAAGATCCAGTCACCTAGGCTGGGTCCAGTCACCTAGGCTGGGTCCAGTCACCTAGGCTGGGTCCAGTCACCTAGGCTGGGTCCAGTCACCTAGGCTGGGTCCAGTCACCTAGGCTGGGTCCAGTCACCTAGGCTGGGTCCAGTCACCTAGGCTGGGTCCAGTCACCTAGGCTGGGTCCAGTCACCTAGGCTGGGTCCAGTCACCTAGGCTGGGTCCAGTCACCTAGGCTGGGTCCAGTCACCTAGGCTGGGTCCAGTCACCTAGGCTGGGTCCAGTCACCTAGGCTGGGTCCAGTCACCTAGGCTGGGTCCAGTCACCTAGGCTGGGTCCAGTCATCTAGGCTGGGTCCAGTCACCTAGGCTGGGTCCAGTCACCTAGGCTGGGTCCAGTCACCTAGGCTGGGTCCAGTCACCTAGGCTGGGTCCAGTCACCTAGGCTGGGTCCAGTCACCTAGGCTGGGTCCAGTCACCTAGGCTGGGTCCAGTCACCTAGGCTGGGTCCAGTCACCTAGGCTGGGTCCAGTCACCTAGGCTGGTCCAGTCACCTAGGCTGGGTCCAGTCATCTAGGCTGGTTCCAGTCACCAAAGTTTGCAAGAAGCTCCTAATATACTTAATCCTCTAATTTAGTGATGATATTGGACGTGCGAGTGCCTTCTTGCATGCTCCACCCTCTGTGCTTGCCACGCTCTACCTCCAAGCACTAATACCTGATCCCAAGTCTCTAGTATGGAACCTCTCTTACGTTTTCTAATTCTTAGAAATTGTATCTAATTCTCAACGGTTCTGGGATTAGGGGAAGGGCTGGGAGGGGCCAATTGGAGCGTCCATAGAGGAAGAACTAATGTTGAATGTGTGGATGCAAATTTTTCAACATTTTATCAAATTTCTTTAATTTAAGTGAATGGCAGAACGCAAAAGAAACAGAATTTCTGTCAAATGAACAAATCCACAAGGGCCGTGACGGGGATTCGAACCTGCGTCCGAGAGCATCCCAGACGCTGCTTTAATCGACTGAGCTACGACTGTGTGATATCTGTGTGCATTTCTGTCAGTCTGTCCACCAGGCTGGAGCAGAAACTCTCATCCACACTTGCCATAGCCTTTGAAAATGTTGAAGCATTTCATATGGCAGTTCAGTGCACAATGTTCTGGCTTGTAAACTAAGTCGGCTCGGTGTTGATAGACATTTTCTGTCTCCTTGAAAACGATTTAGGTAATTGATCACGCCAGCTTAACATTGACAGTCATTACTCCCGGGGACACGCCAAGCAAGTAATGTGTTGTGACAACTAACGTGAAGTTATTAGACCACACTTTCATATCCAGAATTTAATTCCAGTCTCATTGGCGGATAGTTTATCAGAACTATTTATTTTTATCAGAGATACATCAGAGTTATCAGAATATATAATTTTATCAGAGCTTATCAGAGGCAACTGAGCCATTATATATTCGTTATCATGGCACAAAATATACTTCCCTATCGTTATTAGAGGCATAAAGAACTTGATATAGTTCATGGATGGTCGTAGAGATTGATATATGTCTCTCGGTTCCTAGACATGTTGCAGAAAGTGCAGAAAGACCTCCGACTGCATCTGCATGTCCGCGGAGTCTTGAATCGCCAGTATCTTTATCACTATACAACATTCAAGTTAGATCTAATTTTGTATTCATTGACATGGACTTTCAACAAAATTATTAAGACATTAAGACAAAATTAATACATCTAATGAGAGAAATAGACTTAAATCAACTCGAATCAATGCCATATACGCAGATTCTCCAATTAAAAAGATATAGAGGATGATGAAGATGATTTTCTTTGATGATATCTTCATCAAAGAAGATATAGTATGTGTGTATTTTACAATGTCCACTCACTGCCCCACTCTTATGTTCTCACACATACACACAGCCTTATGCTCTAAACGTCAAAAAAGATGTGCCACATCTCACTACCAGATTCAAGTTACTGTTGCAAATAGGGATAAAACATTCGAATCTTCTAAAACACACACACACACACACACACACACACACACACACACACACAGATATTAGAAAGAACTTTTTTAGTGTTAGAGTGGTTGACAAATGGAATGCATTAGGGGGTGATGTGGTGGAGGCTGACTCCATACACAGTTTCAAGTGTAGATATGATAGAGCCCAATAGGCTCAGGAATCTGTACACCTGTTGATTGACGGTTGAGAGGCGGGACCAAAGAGCCAGAGCTCAACCCCCGCAAACACAACTAGGTGAGTACACACACACACACACACACACACACACACACACACAATTACGAAACTTATTTGGGGCAACTAAAACATACAAACACATCATACAAACATGTCAATAAATGGCTACTTTAATAACTAAATTATTGGTAATACGTTTCACGTACACTCTACATTGTCAGAGACAACTATTCATACATATAGTTATCGTGTAAACATACTAAGCCAGTATGAATATTCGTATATAGCGGTAGAAACATACATGAGAACATATTAAGGGCTTGGCTGTGTGGACGGAGTAAAGGAACTGAAGTGAAGTTCGAACCCTCATCACGGCCCTTGTGAATTTGTGTAAAGGAACTTCACTCAACCACTTGGATCATCAGGAATCGAACCAGGACCGAGATTCGAGATTAGAGGCTTGGGACCAAACTCACCCAACATTCACACATGAAACACTGAGGGAGGGTATGTGTGTCTCACAGGCCACAGGAGGTGGGCCCAGATGCCATGCTTTAAGAAATATGGGCATCTTAAGTGCTCCCCCAAGCCCTGGGATTTTCAATGAAGTCTGAAATAAAATATGGTAAGTGTTTCTTAAGATTTTGATGCTCTCGACGTATTTTCATGGTTTACTCGAAAAGTCTGGACGTGAATTCAATCGGGATGGAGGAAGAGGGGAGATGGGACATAGATGAAGAGGGCGAGGAGAGGAGGAAAGAGAGAGGAAAGAAGAGGATTTGGGAGAGAGTAATGGGAGAAGATGGGTGAGGGAGAGGATTGGGAGAGAATGGGGATGTTGGGGAGAGAGGGAAGGAAGGAGGGGAGGAGGGGAGGAAAGATTGAATAGGTGGAGAGATAAGGGAGATAGGAAAAACGGGAGGATAAAAGAAGAAAGATGAGAGAGGAGATTGGAACTGAAACAAGAGGGGAAAGAGAGAGAGAGAGAGAGAGAGAGAGAGAGAGAGAGAGAGAGAGAGAGAGAGAGAGAGAGAGAGAGAGAGAGAGAGAGAGAGAGAGAGAGAGAGAGAGAGAGATACCCCCATTTAGTAAGTCATATATATCATATTAAGCAAAAAAAAAAAAAACAAACAAGATCAGCAGGCGTCTTTTACTTGCAGCTTCAGGGCAAAAAAACACAACAGTAAACATTGATGTAGATTACCAGGAGGCGTGTTTTTTCCAGTTTAGTGAACACAACAAACACCGTGTTTTTTTAATCGGGCAATAATTGGCAAACTTTCCCCGTCACATCAAAAGAAACGAGCGAAGGGGGGGGGGGTAGTTTGTTGAGTTTCAGTGAACGGGATCAATCATTTCTAGATAAATATCGTTAGTTAATTATGTAAGATTTTTTATATGCTATTAAAAAAGATATTTTCATTTTATATATATTTTTTTTCCTTGAGGAAATTTTCACGGGGCCGAATTATTTCTTAATCAATTGGCTTTGGCTGACTT